CCCCCCCTTTCTTCTGGATGGGAATCCTTGAAGGACTTCTCCTTGTAGACCGATCTGAGTCTCCATCCAGTGAGTCAGAACCTTCTAGAAGTGGAAGCTTCGCCATCACATTCACGGACATTGTCCACCGGTCATGTGACATTTGGCCCCCGGAAGCTCTGGCTCGCAGCCTCATCAGGACGTGGTTCGCGCATTGTCAGTGCCGGGGCAGCGCAGACTCATCATACCCCCAGCTCGGGGCATTTAGAAAGACTGGCTGTGACTGGAGGAGCTCAAAAGGTCTGGCACGGCGCTGGGAAGTCCGGAGATTGGCCGAGGGTGCTGACCCATGTGTGATGAGGGATCCAGGACTCTCCTTCTCTGAGGAATCCTGCCCCCGACAGCTCCAGAAACGAGTCCATGAGAGGTCACACGCTCGGTGATCCCCCCAAAAAGAGGAACCGTTGGGTCGAGGGTCGCTGTTCCCGTAGACTTCTACGGCAGTTCGGTAGCCTTTGATCTCCAGGTCCCTCAGGGGCTGGTAGAGGAGGCCTTGTGCTACGGCTGGCAAACATTTGGTGCCCCGGGCTCCCATTGGTGCAGAGCCCTGTCGATCGAAATGGAGGGTATTTCCCGGGGACCCAACAGGACTTGAAAGAGACCCCCGGGCACCAAAGGACTAGCAGGGTTAGTGTCATGCCTCCCCCGGTGCCTCCCGGAGTTTGGTGCCCCTGACCCCTCTGGGCATGGAGCCAGCTGGCCAGAGAGCGCCCAGGCCTCGGCGCTTGTGGTTCCTATAGACTCCGATGTTACCGGAGCCGGCCTCGTTCTCCCTTACAGGCGAGGGGGGCCCAACTTTTGGGTGGATGTAGAGGAGGGTTAGGGCTTCATGCAGGCATAGTTGTCCCACCCCCAGGAACTGACTTCTCTGGTGAGTTGGTGTCAGAGGACGGCGGGCTCATAGGAAGTGATAGATGAGACTATACAGACCAATGAACAGAAATAAATACCGGGTCACTGCTGCTCTTTCTGCTGGTGCAGGGCGACTGGTCTTGTCTCCGCCCCCTCCTGTAATAAAGACCGCTCACTGCCGCTCTCTACTTGTGCAGGGCGACTGGTCTTGTCTCCGCCCCCTCCTGTAATAAAGACCGCTCACTGCCACTCTCTCTCCTTGTGCAGGGCGGCTGGTCTTTTCTCCCCCCCCCCCTGTAAAGAGACCCCCGGGCACCAAAGGACTAGCAGGGTTAGTGTCATGCCTCCCCCGGTGCCTCCCGGAGTTTGGTGCCCCTGACCCCTCTGGGCATGGAGCCAGCTGGCCAGAGAGCGCCCAGGCCTCGGCGCTTGTGGTTCCTATAGACTCCGATGTTACCGGAGCCGGCCTCGTTCTCCCTTACAGGCGAGGGGGGCCCAACTTTTGGGTGGATGTAGAGGAGGGTTAGGGCTTCATGCAGGCATAGTTGTCCCACCCCCAGGAACTGACTTCTCTGGTGAGTTGGTGTCAGAGGACGGCGGGCTCATAGGAAGTGATAGATGAGACTATACAGACCAATGAACAGAAATAAATACCGGGTCACTGCTGCTCTCTCTGCTTGTGCAGGGCGACTGGTCTTGTCTCCGCCCCCTCCTGTAATAAAGACCGGTCACTGCCGCTCTCTCTCTGCTTGTGCAGGGCGACTGGTTTTGTCTCCGCCCCCTCCTGTAATAAAGACCGGTCACTGCTTCTCTCTCTACTTGTGCAGGGCGACCGGTCTTGTCCCCTCCCCCTCATGTAGTGGGTGGAACCTGATGGGCCCCTCCCACAGCTCTGCTGTCTGCGCAGGTAATGTACAGCACAGTGATGATGTCGCCTCTACTTTTACAAGGTGCTATCTGGGTTTGGTGCACGCACACACACGCACACACACAGTGACGTTATATGCTTCCCGGCTATTGAGGAAAGGATTTTAATGACGGTCGCCGCGTGTCCGCAGTTCACCTTTAAATTCCTTCGCTGATTCAGTGACCTGAGGTCAGATTTCCTGGCAATCTTTTAGCACCTCGGGTGACGCGGCGGGTAAGACCTCGCGCGGGACGAACAATTAGCGGCATTCTCAGCCGAGTAAGCGGCGCTATCCCGTAAGGAGCCGGCGGAGGAGGAGCTTGTTAAATAACAAGTGTGAGCGTGCGGAGCAGGAGGGAGGAAGTCGTTGTCGGGTGAGACACGCCGCTGAAGCGTCACGTGTGGCTGGTGCCCAGGGGACAGTCACCACATGTCAGGGCACAGGAGGGAGACGAGTCAGATGGAGTGCAGGGTGTGACTCCATAGGTGTGCACTCTATAAATATCCACAGACACCGCGCACTCACAGTCCTCTGACACACAGCGATGGAGACAGGACTCCCGACGGCGGGACGTTCCACCATCTCCCTGGCGACGGCCCCCCTCTGCGCCGCAGGTAAGTGACAAACCCCCCCCCCCCATCAGGCTGAAAGGTGGGCAACCTGTGATGAAACTACAAATCCCAGCGTGCTTCTGCCTTTAGGAGTCCTGCCTGTAGCGGTCAGAGTCTTGCAGTGCCTCATGGGACTTGTAGTTTAACAACAGCCGGAGTGCTGAGGCTACCTACCCTGGGGATGGACAAACTGCGGCCCTCCAGCTGTGGCGGAACTACGAATCCCATGAGGCATTGCAGGATTCTCACAGCCACAGACATGACTCCCGGAGAGAGATGCCTCACGGGACGTGTTGTACCACAACAGCTGCAGTGCCGAGGTTGCCTACCCTGGCCATGGACCAGGGGTAGCCAAACTGCGGCCCTCCAGCTGTGGTGCAACTACGAATCCCATGAAGCATCTCTCTCCCCGGGAGTGGTGGCTGTGAGAATCCTGCAATGCCTCATGGGATTTGTAGTTCCACCCCACAGCTGGAGGGCCGCAGTTTGTCCATCCCCGGGGTAGGTAGCCTCAGCACTCCAGCTGTTGTTAAACTACAAGTCCCATGAAGGGTCGAGTCGAGTTCATGCCAAAGAGCTCAATTTTGGTGTCATGTGACCGCAGCACTTTCTCCCAATCCTTCTCTGAATCATTTGCATGTTCATTGGCTGACTTCAGACTGGCCTGTACATGGGCCTTCCTGAGGAGGGGGTGGGGCCTGTACATGGGCCTTCCTGAGGAGGGGGTGGGGCCTGTACATGGGCCTTCCTGAGGAGGGGGAGGGGCCTGTACATGGGCCTTCCTGAGGAGGGGGTGGGGCCTGTACATGGCCTTCTTGAGGAGGGGGACCTTGCGGGCGCTGCAGGATCCCAATCCATGGCTGTGTATTGTGTAACCAATGGTTTGTTTGGTGACTGTGGTCCCAAGTGCCCTGAGATCATTCACAAGCTCCTCCCCCCGTGTAGTTCTGGGCGGATCCCTCACTTTTCTCATGATCATCCTCACCCCATGAGGCGAAATCTTACACGGAGCTCCAGACCGAGGGCCATTGGTGGTTATTTTGTATTCCTTCTCACCGAGCTTCTTGCTGACAGTCATGTAGCCCATTCCAGCCTCGGGCAGGTCCACGGTCCCTGACGTCCCCTGACAGCTCTATGGTCTTGCCCATAATGGGGGAGGTGTAAATGGAAGAAAGAGATTCTGTGGACGGGCGTCTTCTATATACATAACGAGTTTGTCGTTAGGAGAACCTCCTTAAAGTGACAGGACTCATCTGTGTACCACATGGAACTGCAACTCCATTTATAACATTTGTATCATTTGATTTTCTCTCACTTCCTGCTGAGCCTTTCGAACAGGAAGTAAGAGGAGATTCCCCAGCTAAGAATAAACTTAGAGGGGATCCAACCCTTCCCATCCAAAGCTAAAAATTTACATCTGGCGGCGATCGGTAGCGGGTGTATGAGGACAATCGTCACGGCGTCAGCGAGGAATTGCCGGAACTGTACGAGAAAACATTGTTATACGAAATCAGATTCCAAGTGTTACATTGTTTCATTTTAGCCGCGATCACATGACCTCTAATACTCAGCTGCAGCGGTTTATCCTCGGGGTGGTGGGCGGGGTCTGCTCACAGCCGCCATGTCTCCGCTATCAGATGGGAGACGGCAGCTTTCGGGGGTCCCCCCCACCCCATGATTTGTCGCCGGCCGTCAGTGACGCACGTTACTTGTGCATTGCCGTTCATTTTGAATGTCTATATACAGTATAGTGGAGACGCATCTACGCCGTGGCGCCCAGAAATGATGGATTTGGGTGGACGGGGATCTGGTGTCACTCTACTCCCTTCATCTTTAATCCCTTTTAATTCCTCATTGTTTACATTGTGTTTTATACACATTACAGGCTCAGCCGCTGTGTTATTATAGCCGGCGATTATACGATGACAGATGTACAATATACGCTCACTGGACGCACCGGAGATGTCGTCATCGCGTCAGCACCCCGTCGCCGCCGAGGGATCCGCGCTCCCTTATGTCACACTCATTGTCTGCGGCGTCCCAATACTTTTGGCAACATATATATAGTGTATGTGCGCGCGCGTGCAGATTGGTGAGCCGCATGTTATCAGGTTATTCCCTTCCTGGCATTCGCATCATTTAGGTTGCTGCGTACCGCCGTGTATCTAACCCAGAAGTGAAGTCAATACAATAACCCATCTGATAAACGTCGCCGCGGTCACATGACCATAAGGCCTCGTGTACACACAACGCAAGAGCAGAATTGTATATTGTGTGTACTCCGAGTGGCCAGATTATTATGACCCCCCCATCAGTACTTCGTTGGGCCGCCTGGTGACTCCACGAGATGATGAAAGGTGATGCGAGGAATCTGACACGGCGCTGTTGCCCTTCTGTTGTCTTGTACCAGTCTTGCCCCTCCCCCGTTCTGCCCTAACATTGACTAGTCGCTGACGGCCACAATTCGCACGCTCAGACCCAGATTTCCGGCTGACAGTCCGGTCTTTAAACACTTTAACAATGAGCCCCTTTGAACATGTAACAAATTCTGCTGTTTTGCTGATACTCGCTCCATGGCTCCGAGCGCCAACAAGGGGCACCTTTCTGGATGTAGGCAAAGGAGCGGCATTGAGCGGTCATTATTACAGGAGGAGGCGGAGACGAGACCAGTCACCCTGCACAAGGAGAGAGAGCGGCAGTGACCGGTCTTTATTACAGGAGGGGGCGGAGACAAGACCAGTCATACTGCACAAGGAGAGAGAGCGGCAGTGACCGGTCTTTATTACAGGAGGAGGCGGAGACCAGACCAGTCGCCCTGCACAAGGAGAGAGAGCGGCAGTGACCGGTCTTTATTACAGGATTGCTGCACAGATCTGGAAGACATACACAGGACTCTGGTATGAGGACAGTGATTGGTTGGATGTCCCCCTGCAATGGGCTCTGAGACTTCTAGGTGTCGGCTGAGCAGAATATAATCCAAGCCGAGTCCGAGATCAAAGAATTCCTCCCTGAAAGATGAGCTGCGGGTGGCAGTGCAGGCGCTGAGTCACTGAGCGTCCGGGGAAGAGTCACAGAAAGTTCTCACGCTTCACTCTCCAGAATTGTTGAGGACGACGTGTCTGCTGTGACAACCTCCATCCACCTTCTATCCGACCTCAGTCCTTCCCTTCAGTCTTTTATCTGACCTCCGTCCTCCCCTTCAGTCTTCTATCTGACCTCCGTCCTTCCCTTCAGTCTTCTATCTGACCTCCGTCCTCCCCTTCAGTCTTTTATCTGACCTCCGTCCTTCCCTTCAGTCTTCTATCTGACCTCCGTCCTCCCCTTCAGCCTTCTATCTGACCTCCGTCCTTCCCTTCAGTCTTCTATCTGACCTCTGTCCTCTCCTTCAGCCTTCTATCTGACCTCCGTCCTTCCCTTCAGTCTTCTATCTGACCTCCGTCCTCCCCTTCAGCCTTCTATCTGACCTCCGTCCTCCCCTTCAGTCTTGCACAGTTGTAGCGGCTCCTCTTCCTCTGATGTCACTGCACACAGTGGTTGCCGCGCGGCCCCATTGATTTGAATGGAGTTCGGTCCGCGCAGCAATGACAGAAGAAAGGGTCCAGGCACCTATTTTTGCGACACATGATGCGCGATCCGCCCGGCGCGACTGAGGTGCCATTGGAAAATAATGGCACCACCAGGGTGATCGGCGGCGGTGTGTGCGATTCCGTGACTGCGTGGCCATCCGCTCGGTTGCGCGGTCACGGATCGCCATGGTGTGAACGTTGCCTAAGAGCCGGACATCTTCCACTGCTGATCACTGAGCTGGCA